TTAACGTGACGGATTGACTACAAACTCATCTGCGGCTTGTGACATTACACTGAACTAAAAATGTGAGCAACCTAAGAGCATGGTCTTGATTTAGGACTTCAAGTCTCCAAAATTTCACTTCAAAAAACGTGAAATCTTGGAGATTTTCTGCTGACTGCTAAAAAAGTTTAAGAAAGTGTAGAGAAACCATTACTTTTTATGACATATAATAACAGCCACTTACATGGTATTGATGAACGTTGATCAATAAAATTATCAACATCTTTATCACTAATGGATACATTTAGTTGTTTATTACCGTCATCAAATTCTTCTTCTTCTCTTTCATTTTCGTGCCCATCAACATCAATATTATCATTTAGACTTGATACATCAACACCTAAAAAATGATTGAAGTAGATGTCAACTTCATTGCTTTTAACATGAAAAATACGCTGAGATTACGTAATACGGGTGCACGATCAACATTCAAAACATCTTCCAGTTCACTAAGACAATTTTCATAAGTACCTAAACAAAGAGAAACAAATGGTGTAGATAAGATCGAAAGAGTATGACTAGAGATATCAGCCGCATCACTAAAGGCGGAATGATTCGAGAATTCTCGTCGTTGTTTAAGCAAAATTGTTCAGACCACCAACATATATTTTTGTGAAAATCTATTGACACTTGATATACATTTGTTTGGCTTTTATTGATTAGAGCAGATCCAATTAATTCTTTTCATCTGTTGCTTTGCTTTAACTTATAGCAATTAGGAATGCTTTTGCAGACACCTTTTTATCGATTGATATTTTTAGGAATAAATAGTGTGCTTACCATAATATTTTACATCGCCAACTAAGCGTTGTTGATTAATGATACATTTTACTTGTGTTTTATCTTGATTTATTGATTGTAGTTCACTATTTTTTAATATTGTATGCTGTTTTAAACTACCAATCCAAACTAAATATGAATTTTCTTCATGTGCTTGTGTTGTTATTGTTCTGGATGACGATGTCGATGGTTTCTTCTTCGTTGATGGTTCAGGTGGTGTAAATATATTTGGCGTATTAATACAACGACCACGTTGTGTTAATCTTTTATTATTATCAGCCATAATGGACAACTATAAAATAAAAATAACTTCCCATCGTGTAAAAATAACGAAATTGAGAAACTCCCCGATGAACCTTCCTTCACACGGTTGAATGTATACTGTATAGAAGTCACCTATTTTATGAATCAGTTGATCATTCTTTTTAGTCAAATTACAGTATGACACTATCGTTATACGACTTAGTGTACATCTCAAAATATTTCAGGTTTTTACAAATTTCAGCAGAAATCTCATCGCTGAAAGATAGAAGTATCTTACTCGATATACTTTAACCCTATCACTTGCAGCAGGGTATACCTTTGTAAGATATCAGATTTACTAACAAAGAAAAAAAATTGTCAAGAAAGCCAGAAGCTATTTTATCCAATAAAAAAACATTAACAAGCATTAGTATTTTCTTTTAGTGCTTTTTTTCTCTCCGTCTTGTTTTGAACATGTAGCGTTGAAAAGTGTTAATCTAAAAATATTGGGAAAAAACCATTGTTAGAAGGTATATATTAGTAGCAAGTACACAGCACATTCGGTAACCTATGTTTCAAGTCTTTCCGAGATCTTCCGACGTGTCCGGACCGAGTTAGCGTGGTTTCCGGAGAACCTTTCTAGCTCTGGAACCTTGTAAGCTAACGACCTGGGACTGCTCTAGAAACGAATATCTCAGTCCGAGCTACCTGCCTGTCGTCTCAAAAGTTAAAATCCGAAACTTTTTCAGTGGTGCGACATCTTTCGCAAAATATCTTCGCAGGGTGCATCACCTGCAGGTGATTTTGGGATAATAATTTTTGGTTTTTCTTATTGCCCCGACATTTTTCTTTCGACTAGTGAAAACCGCAGCTCTATCCTAGAAAAAGTTATTAAACAAATGGCCATGGTCTTTCTTTTTTGCAATGGATAATAGTGTGTAACCTTACAAAGTCTGTTGAAACAATTGTGCCTGCTTAGAATTAATAAACGAAGTAGCATTTCGATTATGATATGGACGATGACGATGATGATGTTGATTGTGGATTTGACGTTGTTGTGCGTCACATTCAACACTGATAGCTTCTAAACCTCTTTCACCTACAATAAAACAAGTAATAACGAATCTACTATGTTTTGGAAATACATTATTAAAAATCAGTTTTCACTATATACCTTGAGCAACATCAAACGTTACTTTATCAGACTTTTGTAACAAATCTTGTTTATTCTTTCGATGAAAACTGGAGTGATGAAACAATAATTGTTGCTTTTGAACTGCACTTCAAACTTGCACTTTTGAATTCACTTAGCAGTTCAGACTATAACTTCTCATGTGCATTAACTTAGCAGCTGAAACATTCAGTTTTATACTGCTTCACTTATCAGTTCAAACTTTCTTTAATACTCAGTCATGCTCGTCATAGGAAGAAACTGGTGTAACAACGAGTTCATTTTTCAAGTCGAAAACAATACAATGTTTTAAAATTCTTTTTACGGAAATACATATATTTGTGAGACACGGACATTTTTCTAATACAAAGAAAAATGTATCTAATGGTTCACGTAATAGTTCATAATATTGAAAATTTAATTTAAAAATAATCACTAAACAAACTTTTTTGTGAAAATTTTTGGATGAGTGCATATGTTTCTTCTTTATGTTTGAAAAATACTTGAATTCGGCCAAATATAAACTTATTGTTTGTTGCAGAATCATCAAGTAATTGAACAAAATAACTTATTGACGTTGTACATCTCTGATAAAATGTTGAGTGAAACATTTGTTGATTCAAAATACATCGGCGATATGTACAAATACATTGACGAATTAATGTACAATTACAAACACGCCGATGATATGTTTGCAAAGCATCGATTTCATAACTTTTAACATCAGTACATGGATCATGTGGTCCATCTGGTAATATATTTTGACGATCGGTTGAATTGCTTAAGGCTATATCAATATTATAATAATAAACAATAAGATCACCAAAATAACGAGTGCCATGTTTATTTGATGCAACATAACCAATAAGATCTTCTTGTGCAAATGTGTTAACGTAACATAATGCACCATTTAAATCAAACATCTCCGCATAATGTGCATGTAAGTGAAGAACAAAATTTTGTAAATGTTCAGAGAACTTAGAATGGTCACGACAGAATGTTGTTAAAAGTTCATCTGCGATCGCACTTGTTCGTTGGCCGAATGTGGGATGACTATGAATTAAACGAATACCACAGATAAATAGAGNCCAATATTGAATAAAAATGTGGTAAAAATCCATACAATAATAAATTACGTAATTCTGTTGCTTTGATATATGAAAAATCTTCAATACCACGCATCTTTCTATTGAAGAAATGTGGAAATGGTTGTGTTCTTAATTCATAATCGACTTGTTTACGTAAAGCCGGTGTTAACAAAGTGCTTATTTGTGTCACAGTATCTCGAAAATGACGTAATAATGTAACATGTTAATAATCGATTAAAATTGATGTTGGAAGTGGAACATCAAGTATAAGTGCCAAAATACTTTTCCCCAAATGACCAAATATATTTTTGCTATCGGATTCAGCTTTTTTGGAATTTGATGTAAACGTTTTTGAATCACGAAGATTCAATGGTTTTTCATACGGATACTGTCGTTTGTTACGTCCAGGGATATTATAACCTTGTGTAAAACAAAAGAAACAACAGTAATAACCAGTATGTCCAATAAAATTCAAAATTAATTTTAATGCTGGACAATCACCAATTACACCATAATATTCTATATTAAAGGACGTTGATGGATTTACATAAACTTGCTGCTTTTTCAAATTTAAAAGCATTCTGAAGCTATTACCCAACCACATGCGAACATTTGGATCTTTGTGTCCAATCCATATTGATATAATTGTCATATTATGTCGACGATAACGTAATCGTGGTGGTAGTTCAATAATAGAAGTACTTAACAACCACATTTTTAATTTGGTCGATTTACATAAGCCTATACCATCCAAATGCAGAATGAAACTAAGTAAATTTTGTGAGGAGAATTTTTTTAACAATTCTTGATATGTATGACCAAATGGAATATCACTTAATCCACTACTATTACCACTACTAATTACTTGTTTGTATTCGTTAATATCATTTGATATCCGTTGAAGGATTGATGTTAATAACAAATAATAATTAGCATCATAAATTAATGCAACATCTTTATTTCAGCATTTGGACACTTCGAACATTTTTTGGCTGAATTAAGAAGTACTATATTGCATAAAGTACAAATTGTTCGTTTATTGAAATTATTTAAAACATTCGACGAGGATAATAATCCTTCCAATGTTGACGGTAAGTTATTTGGGACTGGTAGCCAGCTTCTGATAATTTTTACAATTTCATCACCATGGGATTTACACACTTTTGAAGCACGTAACCAACATAATAATGTGTCTACTGCGTTGTGGATACGAACATTTGTATAATGATGTAAACGTGGTGGATCTACAACCATTTTACTATCATCTTCATTACTTCGATAGCTATGTAAATCAACGCCAGATTGTTCTATCGTCATACCTTCTCTGTAATCCTCATCTAATGATATGAATTCTGGCTGATCTTCAATAAAGAATGGCTCATCGTCTTCAGACTCATTACCAAAAAAATTTTATACTATTGCTCTTGTAATCAAATTAATATTGAAGTTTATTAAAACTGGAAAACTAGAAATTTTTTTAGAATTTACAGTGACTAGCTGAGTACTTTCGACATGAGCATCGAATTCAGTATGCAAATTTACCTTGGAATTGTAATCCTAAAGTAGTATCATATCATTTTTAGAAAGCTGAAAAAGTCATCAAAACTGGAAAAATCAAATTTTAT